TGCTTTCTGTTCTGTCACTAAATGTGTTGCTTTCTGTTTAACTTGCATCCTGCCAGGGTTGGTGCTGGAATAATCTGAGCTGGACACTTGAGACTTGGACTCGAGTCCTTTTCAATGTTCTCATTAAAGGAGTCGACACAAAGAGAAGCTTTGACTCTTCGTTTGAAACTGGACCTTCAATCAACTGTTTCCTTTCAACAAGATTTGTTGTGGCTTCAGAAAATGTGACAAATTGTGACGGGTCCAAAATCTAAAGACAGCAGCTTCCAGCATCTTCTAAATCCTGCTGCTGTAGAAAGTTCTGACATGTGGTTTAACTTGACTCTTAACTTCCTGTCAGTGGTTCTGATTTCCTGCAGCTGCTGACTTCTCTGTGTCTGTAGAAATAAAGTTTGTTTGACTGCACGCATTAGAACGAGCCACAAATATCCAGAGAGCCGCAGCTGTTATCCAGCCGCTGGGAGGTTCACAGGAAACACGCCCGTTCAAGCCATGTGACATCACGCTGACCTCACTCTGACATCACTGATCAGCAGGAATCAATAGTGAGTGTGTAGACTGTGTGTGAGAGTCAGTAGGAGGAGTCAGAGTGAAGAAGAAGCTGACAAAGCGTCCTCCTGTCTTCATCCGTCCTCCATCAGCTGCTTCACCTCCATTTTCTCTCTGATCCAGAGTCAGATCGGATCAATGATCAAAGATCAAACAGGTTGATCGGCCATCAGAGGAGTTGGATCAGCGGAGCTGCTTCTGTTCCTGCTTCTCTCTGCAGAGGAGACAGAGGACAGTCAGACAGAGACAAACACAGAGACTCTGACCTCAGTCTGCATACTGACCTTTGACCCTGAGATCAACTGTTTTCTCTCTCATGGTGTTCCAGTTCTTGTCGTAGACTTTGCACCTGTATGTTCCTCCGTCTCTGACTGTGGGGGATTTCAGGGTCAGACTGAGGTCTCCAGTTCTCAGCAGGTCTTCCTTCATCTCTGTTCGGACTCTGTAATCCTGGTCCTGTTGGTCAGGCTGGTCAGAGCCGTTCTGATACACGTGGACCATCTCATAGGGATCATAGTGGATCCACCTCACTGTGACGTCTTCAGGCAGGTTGTCTGTGGTCTTGCAGGGCAGCAGGACAGACTCCGCCCCCTCCTCCACCTCCACCTGACAGACTGAGAGGACAACAAAGCAGAACATGAGCTGCACAGACAGCAGCAGCAGTTTGAATAACTTTATTGACAGAAGCAGATGAGAGCAGCAGCTAACAGGGGACAGAAACACAGGAAGCTGTTGGAGATGATCAGAGTCTTGATGCTGCTGGGATTGTTTTGTCCATGTGCTGCTTCACAGTAATGTCTCCTGTCAGTGTTGAGCTGCTGGACTTTTACATTTCTGGATCTAAAGCTGAACTTTGAAGAGAAGAAGCTTTCAAATGTTTTCATCTCTGTTCTGTAAATGAATCTCAGCTCCACATGTTCAACATCAGTCCAGAACACCGAGACACACAAACATCTGATCTGGATCTGATCCCAAACTGCTCTTCCTGCTTCATCAATATTTGGCCTTTTCTTCTGCCGACTCTGAGCCCACTTTTCTTTCCAAACGGCTTCAACATGATGTGAAGAGAACTGAGCATCAATCTTTCATTGATCCAAACTATTAAAGCTGCATTTCTTTGTTCTGTGATCAACACATTTGGTTTCTTTCAGCTTTCTTCTTGATCAATACTGGAAATCAATAACTTATTGATCTCATTCTTTCCATCCATGGAAATGATCTCCTGGATTATTCTGGTTTCCTGTTATGACGTCATTTCTGATCACCTGCTGAGCATTTTTACACTGAAATATTGGTCCTTTTATTTTTTAAAGTTCTTTGCTGGGCGCTGGATAAAAAAGCCAAAGCTGCAGGTTGCAAAGAGGTTGGAGAGTTTCTGACTGCATCAGTAATAATTTACAACACATTTGTCTGTCCTCCCCAACATCAGCTGCTCTCACTATCTCTGATATCTCTATATTTTTCAGATATTGTGCTACAGCTTTCTGTGTGTCCTTTACTCCGTCTCCTGTTGGGCCTAATAAACCTTCAAGGTTCACTTCCTTCCTGCCTGACTCATCTTTTGATTCAGCCTCATCCTCTCATCCCTGTATTTCCTACGTCTGATTGACTTTTGCCCATTAAAACAATGTTTTATTTAAGCCTGTATGATCAAACCTCAGCCTGGTTAAAACGCTCTCCTCTCTTCTGTTCCCTGAGCATTAATAGATTTTTACAAGCTGTAATATTTCCTTCCACTTTTATCCACATCCCAGCCGTCCTGCCATTTCTTCATGGTTTCTTTTCTGATTATCGCCTCAGCTTCTCCTTTTCCAAGGGCTGTATTTATGACATCGTTCGTCCCGGTTGATTCTTTAGCTGTTTTGTCTGCTCTCTCATTCCCTTTTATACCTACGTGGGCAGGTACCCAGCAGAATCTCACATCTATCCGTAGTGTCTGGAATCTAAATAAACTCTGTTGGATTTCTAGCATTAGATCTTCTCTATCAGATTTCATATTTTGAATACTATAAAGGGCTGCTAGAGAATCAACACAACACACCCCTCTGTCTGGTTTTACTTCCTCAACCCACTGCAGTCCTACAATAATCACCATCATCTCTGCCGTGTACACTGAAGCCTGATCAGGTCATCTTTTCCCAATGCTTACATTCATTGTTGCTATATATATTCCTATTCCTCCCTCGTCCTCTTCATCTTTAGATCCGTCTGTATACATATCTAAGTAATTGTAATATTTGCTCCTTATTATGTAGCTACCAGATAAGAAACCTTTGATCCAGTTCTACATTTTACCTCCAATACCCATTTTATCTCGCTGTATTAAAAGACCTCCTGCGCCTTCTCTATATCAAAGAAAACAGCTAGCACCCCCTCTTTATTAGCTTGAGCTTTCCTAACATCAGTTTCCAAACATATTAAAGGGTCCAGAGTACTACGCCCCCTTCTAAATCCACTCTGAAGTGCTGAAAGAAGCTCATTTCTTTCTAAGTAGTATGTTATTCTTTCTGGAATCATTTTCTCCATGGTTTTACACACATGTGAAGTTAAAGCTGTCGGTCTGTAATGATCAGGATCTGTAGGATCTTTCCCAGGTTTCTTAATCTGAATAATAATTGCTTCTTTCCACCCTACTGGAAGCTTCCCCTCCTCCCAAACCTTGTTCAATAACTCCAGTACTTTACCCAATGCAGAAGCATTTAAATGTTCTATCATAGTAAAGCTCATATTGTCTTTAGCAGGTGTCGTTCTTTTACTCTTACTCAGAGCCCTCCTCAGCTCAGGCACGGTAAAGGCCTCATCTAGAGGACTCTGATTAGAGTTTCTGTTCTCGAGTACCTCCGGGTATCTAGCTAATGTTTGCCGTCTTCTGATTTTACCTTCTTCTGTCAAATTATCTGAACTATGAATGTTTCTTGAATACAGATAACGTCAGGCTTTACATTTAACTGTTGCACATTTCTCTTAAATTCTTGTGCGTTTGCAATCAGGCTTCTGGCGTTCCACTGAAGGATAAGGAAACCCTTTATGAACTTAGTCACTAAACTGAGATGTTCCGTCATTCGGTGCTGACATTTCATGTAACATGTCTACAGTCATCTCCGTGATCCCCAAATAATCTTTTGCTGCCTCAACAATAGTCCTCAGCCTGGACCTTTTCTTTGTCTGCTGCAGCGCTACGTTCACTACCAAACCTATGAAAGCTACAAATGGAAACTTCTCCACTATCAGAGCATCGTCTTTAACTGCACACTTATGTGAACACTTTATGGCACTCGTGTTCTGCGTCTGTGGTAGTTTAGGGAAGTCCTTTGCTGAGAATCTGCTGTCACTATCAATGAGACTTGTTTTGCTGCTTCAGCGTATGATACTTTATTTTGTATCTCTGAATATCTTTTGCTCTTTTTTGAACTCCTCATCCCTGGTAAGCAGCACTATGTTCCCCCCACAGTTACAACATTTAGTTTTAGTGACTACTGCGCAGCGGCCATATTCATGTTCTCCAGCACACCCTTAGATTTACACTGATCTGCCACATGTCCGATTCTCTGACATTTAAAGCAACGTAACGGCTGAGGTACAAACTCCCTCACATTAAAGCTCATGCAGCCAATCATTACTTTCTGAGGCACGTCTCCCTCAAACTGCAGTAGGACAGACTATCAACTAATTTCCCCTGATATCTAGTAGGAAGACGCTTCACTGCCGTGACTCTGTCTCCTTTCATTTCTTTCTTCATTTCTTCAATAGCAATATCTAATGGAACTCCACTGATCGCTCCTCTAACCTTACGATTAGCCCCAGGAACGGGACTTTTAATTTGAACTTCATTCAAGGTCTTCATCTTCAGTATCTGTTGAACTCTACTGACTGCTTCAATCAACATCTTCCCTTTACTCAGAAATCTTGCTTGTCTAATGTGTCCGATCTCTTTGGAAGTTTCACTGGATGTAGTTTACTACCAGAAACTTCTCTGAACTCCATCTCCACTTTCCTCTCTCCCGTCCCGTTTGTTTTCCTCTCTTTTTTCAGTTGGTTCTGTTGTTCCGACTCACTGTGACTGGACACAGAGTTCTTCCTTCTTGGTCTCTTCCATGTTACCTCCTGCCGTTCTCCTCGCTCACCATCCCGTTCACTCGCCATACTCTCAACATTTTCAAACATTTCCACTCCCGGGCTCAAAGACGCCATCCTCCTTCTGCCGCTCTCCTCCTTTCCTGACCTTGATTTCCCATCATGCACTCCTCCAACCAATGACAGCCCACTATTAGACTCCAGCTCAATTAGCACAGTTTTACCAGTTGAACATAAAAATGCTGTTTTTAACTCAACATTATCGTGTTAGAGTTATTTATCATACAACATATAACAGTTTTTAATAAAATACATCTCCATGTTTTTACCTTGTTCATCAACATGAAATGACTTTTAATCTCAGATTAACTTCTAATGAACTCTTTTAGACTCTACTGTTTATACTGGGTTACGCTCCAGTTAAGGTTAATGATAATATTATAATCATACCGCTATCATAAAGTGAGACTGTCACCTGCTGCTGCTGATCGCTCAGAGTCCAACAGCGCAGCAGAAGCTATTTGACATTGTTTATGTAGCTAGCATAGTTTACTGATGCAGCTGCAGCTTCGGCTAACTGTCCTAATGGCTGACTAGCTGATGTTATTTTGTCAGCCTGGCGTTGGCCCTCACTGCTGTGGGTAACCTAGGTCCCTATGTATCATTATAAAATATTAAGGTGGCTTCCCTTGATACAGATGCAGCTGTATGATAAGGCCTATTATTCACCACCTGTAGCATGTTGCTAATATGAACACTTGTGTATTAACCCCTTAACACACAGTTTCTATTCAGACTGCAGACGAGATAGTGTATGTATTCCGCTAATGCCTGTTTGTGCATATTCGATACGTACCTAGGAACCTTTTTTATGCACTGGTTTCTCATAGGACCGGGCGGAGTTGTAACTACATCCGGTTCATGAAAGCAAACACTGTGGTTAGCAACATGTGCGTTTTGAGGCTTCAAATTTGGAGAAATTGCCCAATATGAGGTAAGTTGTGCTAAGATAAAAATATGTACCACCTTATTGTTTTCTTAATATTTTTTACTTTATTTGAAGATTTCTGTTTGTTGCAAATTCGCGACATTCAGCTATAATGGCTATGTATAAATAATGCAGTAGTTAATGGATTTCAGCACTCGCATGCATTTTCTTTAGTTTAGTTAATATCTATAATAATTACAAAAATAGCATGTTGGAATATAAATGCAATTTCTGCCCCTTTGTTTCAACACAGAACAAAATGATGAACATATGGATGCTCTATGGGAAGCGATTGGCTGGACTTGAAACCAGGGTTCCACCAGTCGAAAGTGATAACAGCTGTCTCAGTGGGAAAAGTGATGAAGACTACATTCCTACACCAGGTGATGAAAGCAGGAGAAGCAGTTATGAAGACTCTGATGGAGATCATGAGGCACTTTCTAGCACCAGTACTACTACTGCAAGAGGGTAATCAGCTGCTGCTACAAAAAGAAAAAGACAAAAGGTAGCATGGAAGACAGTGAACCAACAGAAGTCTGCAAAAGACCTTCCAATGTGGCACAGTGCTCTTCCAGATGGAGATTTTTTGATGCTGATATTTTGGATAGTATTGTGGTAAAAGTGTGTTTTAAGTTTAGAAATATTTTGAGTCCCCCCTCTCTTGTCTCACAGTGGTTTGGTCCACTGCCTGCTTTTCCTCTCACAGCAGTCCAGTGGCAGAAAACCAGTTCAATCCTTCAGGAGTTGTTAAGCAGACTGGCAGGGCTGTTTTCTTCACTTTAAACATCAGATGAACTGATTTATTTGTCTTTAATACAGATGATGTTGAGTCATTAAGAAATTAATCCTGACAAAAAGTTCTGATAACTGATCATTTCTCCATGAGCCCACGATGTTATAACATCACCTAGCTTGTTTACCAGCTTGTTGGATTGTAAGTCACCTTCTACAGCTAGAGATGCACGGATTGATCAGCAAGTGTGTTGTGCTCCTGCGCATGAATAGCTGGCACGTTGCGTTCTGTATGGCTGGCCTGCAATGATTGCTTTATCCATCAAGACAGCCCGGGTCAGGGCGCCATCTGGCCGCAGCATAGCAGTGGGTGAACGCTGTTACGAGGAGAGCCCCATGTAACGTTGAAGGGAGGCTAACTTTGCTGGGGAGAACTAGGGATCGGCTGGTAGTTGGTGGGATTTGAACACGTTTTCTATTATCTTTTATACATAGCCTACATGTGTACAAAATAATATAAATGCAACAACTGTACAAAGCTGTGTTTAGTTTAGTTTAGGTTTCAGGTAGGGAGTCACTGTCTTGGTGGTTTTCTTGTCCTTGTTCTGTTCTGATGGTCTAGCTCATCCTGCATGTGAGATGAACTTGCCACTAGTAGCCTACATTGATTGTGAGCCCCTCTTGAGCTGGGTTAATGTGTCTGCTGGTCATTATATTTACTGCATATCAGCTAGTGTGTGTTTTATGGGTTCATTTATCTCATTCACATCTCATTTATATCTCAGCCAACCTGTCACTTTATGCTTTTATTAAGCATTTGATTAATATAGGTTTACATTTTAATACAGCCTAGCTGATTTCCAGTCAGACTTACCTTCAGGGTGCTAGGGACCTGTTGTTTGTGGCTCTAAGGGGGGCCTCCACTATCTTCAAAGTTGTAAATGTAAATGCTCCATACTTGTATTGCACCTTTCTAGTCTTTTCGACCCACTCAAAGCGCTTTTACACTACATCTGCATTCACCAGTCACGCACATTCACACACTGAGCCTAAGTGCTCAAACGGAAACTAACATTCACACTCCTGGTTGCGCGTCGAAGTGTCCTTGAGTTTAGCTCTTAGGATTTTCTGTATGTGGGTTATAAATTATACTGTAGATGTAGCATCTGCTTCATATATTTGTAGTATTTATTTAGACAATATATACTTCAAAAATGTATATATATTTGCTTAGTGTTTGGGCCCCTACAAGTTTCAGATAGCTTGAAAAAGACCTGTATCTACAACACTGACCTTTGACCTTGAGCGTCGCTTGTTTCGTCATCAGGATGTGTCTCTTCCTGCTGTAGACGGTGCAGGTGTAGGTGTTAGTGTCTATGTCTGTGGGGTATTTCAGGGTCAGACTGAGGTCTCCAGTTCTCAGCAGGTTTCTCTTCATCTCTGTTCGGTCTCTGTAAAAACTGTGCTGTTCTTCAGGCTGGTCAGAGCCGTTCTTATATACGTGGAGCTTCCTGTCATCTCTAGCTGTCCACTCCACTGTGACGTCTTCAGGCAGGTGAACTGTGGTTTTGCAGGGCAGCAGGACAGACTTCACCCCTGAATCCACCTCCACCACCTGGTGGACTGAGAGGACAACAAAGCACAACATCAGCTGTACAGACAGCAGCAGGAACTCTGAAATATGTCCCATTGTTCCATCTAACAGAGACAGTGTTGTCTTTGGTGTCTCTACGATCATTAGTTGTATTGTCAGGTGGAAGTTTTAACTCTCATTTGTGGAGAAAAATATCAACTCTTACACAGAATCATGTCCTGTTTTACATCAGACATAAAAACATGTCAATCACTGAAACAGCAGCTCAGCTACCTTTATAATGTTTAACATATCCAGTCGATATTCAAAGTAACGGTACTTTTGGAAAGTACTACATCCGAACAGGGACGTTTTTGGGGGTAAAATAAAGACCTAAAGAGAACTAAATTTAGACCCTGGTCCCTCTGGTGGAAACGCAGTGTGTTCCTCCAAAGGTTCTTAGTTCCGGGGTAGAGTTGCTGTGGTGGAAATGCAGCTTTATTGATCCATTGAACAGAAGGTCTGTGTGAAACTGTGAACATCACATGAATCCAGTCTGAAAAACCTGATGCTATTAAATCAAAGAGTCGCTGGATTCTCCTGCAGCTGCTGGACACAACAAACTTCATTAAGAATTCACTGTATTCAAGCAGATGAGCCTCTTTTTAAAAACTGAAGCTGATCTCTTTATTATTTCAGATGAGGTGTTTGTGGGAGAAACAGGATGTTTGGAGACAAGAAGCAACATAAAAGAGCCGACTGTGAAAACTGGATCACTGAAGTCTGTTTTTTACACGAACATCTGAGAATTTGTAGCACTGATTTATTCAGAGAGAAGATTTAGGCAACAAATACTTCATCTGGAATAAAATGTTGAAAAAGATGTTTAATGAATCAAAGCGTCAGATTTTAAGCTGATTATAAGAATGACATCACATCTTTGGATTTCAGCAGTGAGGTGCTTTTATCTACGGACTGAAGAAATGATTGCAGCTGGGACTCCTTCAGTCTTTGAGAAGAAACTATGACCTGGAAGAGAGAAACCTCTCTGGATCACTTTTAGATGGACTGTTTGGCTTTGGAAGACAGAAACTGGATGGAACTCTCTGATTGATGTTTACAGATATTGATCATAAATATAAAGGCTTTCTCTTACAAATAAGCTTTAATATCAACTAAATGTTTCTGACAAACATGTTTAGAAAGAAAAATCCTTTCTGCCTGGATTCTGTTCACTGGCAGCGTTTGTCACAGTCCAGGAAGTTCACATGCATGTTTCACTTAGAGGTCCTGAGTCCCACCTGCTGCTACTTCAGATACTAAAACACTTTGGTTCAAGTTCAGATAGTGGTTTAGGTTCCTCAATCTTTCCTGAACCTGAACCAGGAGCTGGAAGGATCCAGACTCTGACCTGTATCCACAGCTCTGACCTCTGACCTGTAGCTACAGCTCTGACCTCTGACCTGTATCCACAGCTCTGACCTCTGACCTGTAGCTACAGCTCTGACCTCTGACCTGTATCTACAGCACTGACATTTGACCTCAGACCTGTATCCACAGCTCTGACCTCTGACCTGTATCCACAGCTCTGACCTCTGACCTGTATCCACAGCTCTGACCTCTGACCTGTATCTACAGCTCTGACCTCTGACCTGTATCTACAGCACTGACATTTGACCTCTGACCTGTATCCACAGCTCTGACCTCTGACCTGTATCCACAGCACTGACCTGTATCCACAGCTCTGACCTCTGACCTGTATCCACAGCTCTGACCTCTGACCTGTATCCACAGCTCTGACCTCTGACCTGTAGCTACAGCTCTGACCTCTGACCTGTATCTACAGCACTGACATTTGACCTCAGACCTGTATCCACAGCTCTGACCTCTGACCTGTATCCACAGCTCTGACCTGTATCTACAGCTCTGACCTCTGACCTGTAGCTACAGCTCTGACCTCTGACCTGTATCTACAGCACTGACATTTGACCTCTGACCTGTATCCACAGCTCTGACCTCTGACCTGTATCCACAGCACTGACCTGTATCCACAGCTCTGACCTCTGACTTGTATCCACAGCTCTGACCTCTGAACTGTATCTACAGCACTGACATTTGAGCTATGACCTGTATCCACAGCTCTGACCTCTGACCTTTATCCACAGCTCTGACCTCTGACCTGTATCCACAGCTCTGACCTGTATCCACAGCTCTGACCTCTGACCTGTATCCACAGCTCTGACCTCTGAACTGTATCCACAGCTCTGACCTCTGAACTGTATCTACAGCTCTGACCAGTATCCACAGCTCTGACCTCTGACCTTTATCCACAGCTCTGACCTGTATCCACAGCTCTGACCTCTGACCTGTATCCACAGCTCTGACCTCTGACCTGTATCCACAGCTCTGACCAGTATCCACAGCTCTGACCTCTGACCTTTATCCACAGCTCTGACCTGTATCCACAGCTCTGACCTCTGACCTTTATCCACAGCTCTGACCTCTGACCTGTATCCACAGCTCTGACCAGTATCCACAGCTCTGACCTGTATCCACAGCTCTGACCTCTGACCTGTATCCACAGCTCTGACCTCTGACCTGTATCCACAGCTCTGACCAGTATCCACAGCTCTGACCTCTGAACTGTATCTACAGCTCTGACCAGTATCCACAGCTCTGACCTCTGACCTTTATCCACAGCTCTGACCAGTATCCACAGCTCTGACCTCTGACCTTTATCCACAGCTCTGACCTCTGACCTGTATCCACAGCTCTGACCAGTATCCACAGCTCTGACCTGTATCCACAGCTCTGACCTCTGACCTGTATCCACAGCTCTGACCAGTATCCACAGCTCTGACCTGTATCCACAGCTCTGACCTGTATCCACAGCTCTGACCAGTATCCACAGCTCTGACCTGTATCCACAGCTCTGACCTGTATCCACAGCTCTGACCTGTATCCACAGCTCTGACCTCTGACCAGTATCCACAGCTCTGACCAGTATCCACAGCTCTGACCTCTGACCTGTATCTACAGCTCTGACCTGTATCTACAGCTCTGACCTCTGACCTGTATCCACAGCTCTGACCTCTGACCTGTATCCACAGCACTGACCTGTATCCACAGCTCTGACCTCTGACCTGTATCCACAGCTCTGACCTTTATCCACAGCTCTGACCTCTGACCTGTATCCACAGCTCTGACCTCTGACCTGTATCCACAGCACTGACCTGTATCCACAGCTCTGACCTCTGACCTGTATCCACAGCTCTGACCTTTATCCACAGCTCTGACCTCTGACCTGTATCCACAGCTCTGACCTCTGACCTGTATCCACAGCTCTGACCAGTATCCACAGCTCTGACCTCTGACCTGTATCCACAGCTCTGACCTCTGACCTGTATCCACAGCTCTGACCTCTGACCTTTATCCACAGCTCTGACCTCTGACCAGTATCCACAGCTCTGACCTCTGACCTTTATCCACAGCTCTGACCTCTGACCTTTATCCACAGCTCTGACCTCTGACCTTTATCCACAGCTCTGACCTCTGACCTGTATCCACAGCTCTGACCTCTGACCTGTATCCACAGCTCTGACCTGTATCCACAGCTCTGACCTCTGACCTGTATCCACAGCTCTGACCTCTGACCTGTATCCACAGCTCTGACCTCTGACCTGTATCCACAGCACTGACCTGTATCCACAGCTCTGACCTTTATCCACAGCTCTGACCTCTGACCTGTATCCACAGCTCTGACCTCTGACCTGTATCCACAGCTCTGACCAGTATCCACAGCTCTGACCTCTGACCTGTATCTACAGCTCTGACCAGTATCCACAGCTCTGACCTCTGACCTTTATCCACAGCTCTGACCTCTGACCTTTATCCACAGCTCTGACCTGTATCCACAGCTCTGACCTCTGACCTGTATCCACAGCTCTGACCTCTGACCTGTATCCACAGCTCTGACCTGTATCCACAGCTCTGACCTCTGACCTGTATCCACAGCACTGACCTGTATCCACAGCTCTGACCTCTGACCTGTATCCACAGCTCTGACCTCTGACCTGTATCCACAGCACTGACCTTTATCCACAGCTCTGACCTCTGACCTGTATCCACAGCTCTGACCTCTGACCTGTATCCACAGCACTGACCTGTATCCACAGCTCTGACCTCTGACCTGTATCCACAGCTCTGACCTCTGACCTGTATCCACAGCACTGACCTTTATCCACAGCTCTGACCTCTGACCTGTATCCACAGCTCTGACCTCTGACCTGTATCCACAGCACTGACCTGTATCCACAGCTCTGACCTCTGACCTGTATCCACAGCACTGACCTGTATCCACAGCTCTGACCTCTGACCTGTATCCACAGCACTGACCTTTATCCACAGCTCTGACCTCTGACCTGTATCCACAGCTCTGACCTCTGACCTGTATCCACAGCACTGACCTGTATCCACAGCTCTGACCTGTATCCACAGCTCTGACCTCTGACCTGTATCCACAGCTCTGACCTCTGACCTGTATCCACAGCACTGACCTGTATCCACAGCTCTGACCTCTGACCTGTATCCACAGCACTGACCTGTATCCACAGCTCTGACCTCTGACCTGTATCCACAGCTCTGACCTCTGACCTGTATCCACAGCACTGACCTGTATCCACAGCTCTGACCTCTGACCTGTATCCACAGCTCTGACCTCTGACCTGTATCCACAGCACTGACCTGTATCCACAGCTCTGACCTCTGACCTGTATCCACAGCTCTGACCTTTATCCACAGCTCTGACCTCTGACCTGTATCCACAGCTCTGACCAGTATCCACAGCTCTGACCTCTGACCTTTATCCACAGCTCTGACCTCTGACCTGTATCTACAGCTCTGACCAGTATCCACAGCTCTGACCTCTGACCTTTATCCACAGCTCTGACCTCTGACCTGTATCCACAGCTCTGACCTCTGACCTGTATCCACAGCTCTGACCTGTATCCACAGCTGACCTCTGACCTGTATCCACAGCTCTGACCTCTGACCTGTATCCACAGCTCTGACCTCTGAACTGTATCTACAGCTCTGACCAGTATCCACAGCTCTGACCTCTGACCTTTATCCACAGCTCTGACCTGTATCCACAGCTCTGACCTCTGACCTGTATCCACAGCTCTGACCTCTGACCTGTATCCACAGCTCTGACCTTTATCCACAGCTCTGACCTCTGACCTGTATCCACAGCTCTGACCAGTATCCACAGCTCTGACCTGTATCCACAGCTCTGACCTGTATCCACAGCTCTGACCTCTGACCTGTATCCACAGCACTGACCTTTATCCACAGCTCTGACCTCTGACCTGTATCCACAGCTCTGACCTCTGACCTGTATCCACAGCACTGACCTGTATCCACAGCTCTGACCTGTATCCACAGCTCTGACCTCTGACCTGTATCCACAGCTCTGACCTCTGACCTGTATCCACAGCTCTGACCTCTGACCTGTATCCACAGCACTGACCTGTATCCACAGCTCTGACCTCTGACCTGTATCCACAGCACTGACCTGTATCCACAGCTCTGACCTCTGACCTGTATCCACAGCTCTGACCTTTATCCACAGCTCTGACCTCTGACCTGTATCCACAGCTCTGACCAGTATCCACAGCTCTGACCTCTGACCTTTATCCACAGCTCTGACCTCTGACCTGTATCTACAGCTCTGACCAGTATCCACAGCTCTGACCTCTGACCTTTATCCACAGCTCTGACCTCTGACCTGTATCCACAGCTCTGACCTCTGACCTGTATCCACAGCTCTGACCTCTGACCTGTATCCACAGCTCTGACCTCTGACCTGTATCCACAGCTCTGACCTGTATCTACAGCTCTGACCTGTATCTACAGCACTGACCTTTGACCTCAAGCTTCACTTGTTTCTTCATCAGGATTTTTCTCTTCCTGCTGTAGATGGTGCAGGTGTAGATGTCACTGTCTGTGGGGTGTTTCAGGGTCAGACTGAGGTCTCCAGGTCTCAGCAGGTTTCTCTTCATCTCTGTTCGGTCTCTGTAAAGCGGGTCCTGTTCTTCAGGCTGTTCAGAGCCGTTCTTATATACGTGAACCTTCCTGTAATCTTCGTCCCTCCACTCCACTGTGCCGTCTTCAGGCAGGTGAACTGTGGTTTTGCAGGGCAGCAGGACAGACTCCACCCCTGAATCCACCTCCACCTGGTAGACTGAGAGGACAACAAAACACATCAGCTGTACAGACAGCAGCCTGAACTTTTGACTAAGACCAGCAGGAGCCCCCACATTACTCCTGTGCCTAGGCCCTTCATTGGCTTCTGATTGGTTTGACTTTTTAAAATTTTAATCATTACACAGCCTTGACAAGCTCCATGTTACATCCAGGATCTAATTCATGCACACACCTTTGGTCGCTCTCTGAGGTCTTCAGGCTGAGACCTTTTAACTGATCAAATAATGCTCCCACTACAGAATCATTTTATATTGCACC